GGGTTATCTTACGTGCTGAAAACAGATAACACACTTTCTCCGCAGAACGTCTCCCCGTGTGGTTACGGTAGGTGTACCGTAGGAAGTCAAAATCATGAAATCGGCTGGAGTTTGGTCCAAAGAACTTATTCGACGGCTTGCTGATTACGAGTTTCATACTCTCTCTGCATATTGGGACCTCTTCATAGATTTATGGTGGTTATACGGTATGGGGTCGAAAACAGAGATTTGCTTTAAACTTTGTCTAGGGTGGTCATTTAGCGCGCTGAACATGAATATCATGCTGATTTCGCAGGATAGTGCATTTTCTCAGGTTACGATGTTTGTAGATGGGTCGAAGTTCCAGATTTGCTCAAAACCTTACCTGTAACGGTTCACAAGTATATCGCTTATGAATACGATGCTTGCTCGCTGTCATAACGCAATAGTGAAGTTATGAAGTAGCAGGGTTTGAATGGACATTTTTTCGCTTTTGGGCCAATTTAGATCCCAGATATTCAAGAGACAGGGAAACGGTCGGTGCATGGCGATCTCCAGCGCCATCCTGATAACCTGTTCCAACTGTAACGCACGCGGCAAATCTCCCTCTCCCTGTTTTTGCTTAGGCAAAAGCCGCCAAAGGGTATCGCGCGCGGCGGTCCTATAAGGAAAGCACATTACGGTCGTGGAAAACTTTTATACCACACGAATTGCCATTATCGTGGGGAGTTAGCACGATATTCTTGAGACAGCACTTTAGGTAATTCCCTGCCAAGGTTAGGTTCATGATTTTGACCCGCTGCCACGCGAAATGACTACCATATTCGTCATCAGCGGCTTGAATAATAACCCCCTTATACCGAGTTTGAGCAAGACCCACCACAAGAACATTTTAGGGCCCGGATAGCCGAATAACGCCATCAGTTTTTAGAATTATCCTTACTTTTATCGATTTTATTGGTTTTTTCCAAGGTTTTAGCAATGGGGTGGGGGGGGGTTGGTGAGGAAGGTAAGTGATTATTGATTACTCACACAGCGGGAATAGGGAATTGCATGTAGAAGTGAGCACAGGTAAAGGTGTACAGGGATAGAAATAGAACCTTTATCGTTTTTGACAGGGCCGGGCGGAGCCGGGTAAGCCAGTTAGTGTTTATTTATAATTAGCACACTTATTTACCCCCTGTACTAACTCCCAGCCTCGTAGCTCAAGATTCTCCTTAGGCGGCGGAATTGCACCCTCCAAAGTGGCTTGATTGGTGTCAGGCGCAGTCGAAAAACGTGCTAGTATGGGGAAGTTAAGCCGCACGTACAAGGCTATTACCCGCTTCACTAGACCGCAGGATACGATGAAGCAGCATACGGCGACCCATATATCAAACCAATTGAGTGTCGGAAAAAGAAGACTGAAAATACGGCCCGTACTCTCTTCGGGCTTATCTTTGGCTATCTGAGTTTGGGTCCACGACCCTCTAGATGAGATCAATTGCTCATGTGACACAGCTTGCCAAAGCTCGGTGAGTTGTCCATCTGCCACTATCTCGCTTAAGTTTGTAAGAATCAAGTTATGAAAAATGGTAAGGGGCGGCAGCGAGTCCCATCGTGAGATGTTGGGTGGCCATGATATAGTGTCGATAGACTCATCTGCGACTGGATGGATGGTGCCCTGTAATGTATCGAAAGCGAACGTTGCTGTGGCATTAACAAAAAGAAATGGGGTCGATTTGGGACATGGTATTATGGTAGCCTCCCGGGTGATAACCCCGGTACCTGGCTCTAAAAACCCGACCAGTTTTGCGCTTGGTAGGCGTATTGCTATCTTGGGCTTACCATAGCATGAGTTGTTGAAGGGTTGCAGTTGATAACTAGTGGGGGGAACCCTCATACATCGGTGCACTTGAACTATATTTCCGCCCATATATGTGGCTGCGACATCCGAGCGACTGAGTAGTTTGCGGACGACTAATGTAGGAGAATGCGGTAGACTAGCTCGAACCGTTATCATGAGGAAGTTAACCTGGTTACAGAACGCCGATAAAGTGTGCTGGAAGAGTATTCCCGCGGCTTCCCTCCCTACATCTTCGACCGCTAATAATTGCGCTGCCAGTTGGTTAGAAGTCACAATCCCTGCCTGCGGTGAACGTGCGAGTCGGGTCTTGTGTTTATCTGTGAATGCATAAACCTGATCTGTTACTCAGCTGGGCCCCGCAGTCCCAGACTGATTTGGAGTCTTCGCCCCACGATAGCGCCATTTCTTTTGACTGGCTTAGCCAAAAATGCCCCATGACGTGTCCGGCAATGGTGCCAATGGGGATTGTACTGGCAGGCCTCTTCCTTATTAGGATTCCACAACATAACCGGATCCGCCACTCAAAGTGCATTGCCCTTCGGGATATTTGCAGTGGTGGACGTCACCGATGGCCGCTTCTGGGGCGGGGGAGTCATGCCGCGCGTGGATTGTTGTAGGCAAGAGGTAGCAATTGGTGCTCGTTGTGGTGTGGACGGTGCAACAACCAAATGGGGCTGAGGGCCACTCGATTTTAAGCGTATTTGCAGTAGCATATATCCCGTTCGAAAATTGCATGGAGCCGAAATCGCATGTGTGATGCTCCCGCATAAGTCTACAGTGCTTCGCTGTAACTGTCTTCGTAGTCTCATGCTGCGTCTGCCAGCGTGCGCCAAAAAAGTTCACCGAGAATGACACTGTACGCGCTACTATTTTACATAAGTGAGCTGGAGTGCTATATCGCTGCGTATTGGGACGAAAGACACGCAGTGTGAGTGCTTTGGGATGGGCGGTTATATTTGGCACAATACGCGAGCAATTTAGATTAGCTGGTAATTGCAGCATGTGATCGGTAGGTTGCTGAGGGCAGAGCCAAACTTCTTGTGCTTGAGCGGTAACCATGAAGGAACAGAGTGCAAAAAGATAAATGAAATAATGCATATTTGGGAAAAAGGAATTGACTTGTGGAAGAGGATCTTTGTGATGAGAAAATACAGAGCCAGATAATTCATGATTGCGTTGCAACAATGCTTCTACGCGTGCATTAGACTGCTCAAGAGCCTCTTGACTTTGCTTAAGAGACAAGGATAGGGCGTTAACCTTTTGTTGAGTATCGTTCAAGAATTGCCCTTCATACCTGTTAAATGATCGTGAAGGAGAAGATGGATGAGAATATGAGTTTTACGAGCGATTAGTGAAGTTACGTTTATTGTCAAAACGCCTACCTCCACCCCGTCGCTGGGGCGACGGACACTGCTTGGCTATGTGTCCTACTCCGTTGCAGTTAAAGCACACCACCGCCGATGTTGGGGTAGGTGGACGGTTGTATCCGCGCTCCACTCGTCGTCTTGGTGAACGCATACGAGATTGTTGCCCTCGTCGAGACTCTGTAATATTATCAAAATATTATCAAAATAAGATCTGCTTTCGGAGTCGGCAAAAGTCACTCTACGGCCCGGTGACATTGCATGTATGCCAGGTTTAATTAAGCCCCCGTATAAACCGTTTGATTGCGTGGGTGCTTCCGCGAGTAGCCGTTCTACTGTTCGCGCCTTATCTAGTGCACGTTGGAACGTCTCTGGCCCCTCTAGCTGGACCTGTCGCCGGATATCAGAGCGCAGTCGCTCTACAAACTCTTCCAAAGTGCGCTCTTGCTGCACTACCTGCCCTTGTCCCGCCGTAGCCTCACTCACTAGATTCACAAGTCTATTGGCGAAAGCTACTACCGACTCCCCCATTTCTTGATGACATGCTAACAAAGTCTGTCGCGCCATATAACGCTGCTGCGGAGTGTCAAAGTGCTTAGCTAGATGCGCGACTATTTTATTGTAGTCCTGGCGCTCAATGTGCGAAAGTTCCTCGACTTTTTCACGTGCCATACCGTCTAAGTACGTTATAAGAATATTAACTTTGTGTTCTGAGGACAACACCCCTTGACGGGTCCGCATAATATCTTCAAAACGGCGGAGCCATGTGTTAAACTGCAACGTATCCCCACATCCCGTATATGCCGACAAGTAAATGTGGTGTCCCTCCGGGTTGCAGACCGCTACTTGGGGCAAGGTGCTTATACGAGTGTCAATGGCGTCAACCTTGTCCGTAATCCCCTTGAGAAGCGCCGCACTATTGTTATTGAAGCGCTGTACTAGCTGCGAGGTGTTATAGTGCGTATCGTACCACATATTAGTAACGACGTCGGATGTTGCATCCCTAAGAGCTTTGGCATCTCGACCATGCACCACATCTGAATCCCCCACATCGCCTAGTGTAGCTCTAAGAGTGGCCATCATTTTATCCGGGGTTGCTGTATCTGTATCAGTGTCCTCTACGGGACCAGTAGTAGGTTCTAAGCTCTGTGTTTGGGTAACTACGACCCCTTATCAACCGAATGGGCACGAGAGCGAGTCACCGGAGGTGCCATTCGAGGAAAGAACGCAAGAAAAGTACGATGGAAAACGAAGAATATGTGAAATGTGTCTTCTCCTGACACTGCCATGTACGAGTCCGTTATCAGATAAGAAAAAAAATATGTAAACATATCCCTGAAAACCATTTTCCCCGACCCTTATCTTCTGTCTATCTCATGAGAAAAAAACATAATTTTTCCCTATGTTTATAACTCACAAGCTTTCCGCGCTCTGTATCTGGAAGTGCGATCACATCGTCGACATAAACATTTGTCCGCGGCGCTCGTTGTAGTTCTCGCGGCGCCTTATGCGCGGACGTTACATAATGAAACATAATATTGCATACGCTAGGCGTATTAGATGAAAAGAGCTGTGGATGCATAGTCACAATGCACAAAATTTAGCTAATTCTATACAGGAACACTCAAAATTCTATCACCGGTGATTCGGAGCGACACATTACATAACCACAACTTCAACTTTAGGAAATCTTAAAAAATCAAAAATCGATAAAGGCAACAAGATACATATTTATTTATAATCAGCATACTCGTTTGCCCCCTGTACTAACGTCTGTCTGTATGCGTGTACCTGTTCTCAAATTGCATCATCGCCACGACTGTGCTGCAACCCCACGTTGGTTCATAATCAATGCACTTTTTGAATGTTTAACTTCTAATCAAGATAATTCTTCTTCAAAACAGTCTCTTTGATAGCATTGAAAACTAATGTGCACAAATCTTGACTATAAAACTCATACCTTGATAAAATTGTGTTCATTACGATCTGAAAAACTCTGTTTTGGAACCAATTTACTCTAAAATGCTAAATGAGAACAATCTTTGCTCGATGTATAGCTAATGAACTAAATAGCAGAGTGAAATTAATTTTCCGCGGAAGCTCCACGACACGAAAAAGTGGGTACTTTTGGATATTTGGCAATTTTTTTTAAGAAAAACGCTTGCTAAAAATACGATTATATTCACTTTTCTCTGCATTCTAGAGAAAAAAAGAGATTCTGTCTTTGAACTCTTTAATTTTCTGAGAAGCGAGAACATCTTTCCGCTTCCCTGTTAGTAATATTGGATGCACTCTATCTGCGAAGAGTCAAAAAGCAATCGCTTTCACCTAAACTTTTTATGCAGCTTAGAATGTACAAGGAATCAGCCAGGCCGAATCAAAGCTTTTCAGCGTGGACTTGTAGGCATTTTATAGCACATTCTTCGCAAATTTAACACTTATTTTTTGTAACATCTGAGAGCAAGTAGATTGAAAGCAAAATTGTTCAATTTTTAGTTTCTCTTTCTTGAAGTCATGAAACTTCGGTTTGAATAAAGACTTCCGAAGATATAAGAGGAACTAGAAGAAGCGTAATTATTTTCAGATAGTACAGAAGGTTTCCAATAAAATCTGTTTTGCTTCGAAAAATAGTGTTTGAAAGAAGTGATAAAAATCCTGCATTAATCAAGAAACCAACCTTATATCACTATTCCAAAGTGCTGCTTACCGCACGAAAGTGCCATGAGTTGTATGGACCTTCCAGTGAGTGTGGTTCCCACTGCCTTGATATTCCATTTTTCTCACTGGCAATTCTACCTCTGTTCCTTTTGTCACGTCCCTCACGTTCTGAGCCATTGAATAAACAAATGAGTGTTCTCTCTATATAATCGATTAAAGAGTTTCTCACATTACTGATCTTATGCTTCTGTTGCAGAAATTGTAAATTGGGAATAGACGCCATTAGTCCACTGTTGTTGTTATCAAGTAAGCCAAAAGTATGCACTCAGCAAACTTTTTTTTGCGGACGCAGCTTGCTCCTCATCATGAATCCTGATGTCATTCTCATCTGTGACAGCCAAAATGATTTCTGTTTAGAAAAGCCTCAGAAGTTAGAGTTGCTCAAAAACTTGTGATGGTATACGAATGCAAACATTTTAACAATGCAAGTCGTGTATCAATCACTTCATTCCAGAATGGATGAAAAGCAATATTTGGGATCGTTCAGACCGCGCACAAAGGCGCACAAAGGCGCACGGAGGCGCACAAAGGCGCACAAAGGCGCACGAAGGCGCATGAAAGCGCCGGAACTGCCAAAGCGCAGGGATTTGCCGGCAAAGTGCCATATTGTAATACGCGTGAAATAACGTATATGTAACGTTGAGCTACTTGTGACTAACATACGTGCACAACGCGCGCTGTATTTCACACGTATTCCAATATGGCACTTTGCCGGCAAATCCCTGCGCTTTGGCAGTTCCGGCGCCTTTGTGCGCCCTTGCGCGCCTTCGTGCGTTTTTGTGCGCCTTTGTGCGCAGTCTGAAATCCCTTTGCTTTCCTAACGAACTTCTGACTCACTGCCAAACCAGTCGTGCGTTTTCTCACACTATGTATAAGCTCCTGCAAGACGAAGGCGGTCGGTTCGATGTGCAACGCGGCTGCGACACAGCTGTGTCACAGCCGCGTCACAGCCGCGTCACAACCACGTCACACATCAAACCGATCACCTTCCTCTGGCCGGAGCTTATACTTACAAAGAAAAAGAAGATTTGATAAGGCACGCACTTTCGCTTCGTCTCTTTACCTCGTGCGCCTAGTTAACTCTTTCAGCCGAAAATGACCTCCAATCAAGAACGCTTCGAAGAAATTGTGACGAAAGCAGCCTATAATGTAGGTCCGTAACTTTAGTTCCATTTCTTTCTAGTAATAGCCAAGCATCGTTCAGAACTTCAGCCAGATCTGAATGCTCTCAAAGAAGGAGAGGACTACTGTGCCTTTGATGTCGCAACTATTAGCGAAAGTTGCTTTTGTTTGCGCACGGGTTTTCGTTGATTTTTTGAGCTTTTTCTCAGGCTCTCCACCGAAGCCAAAAACTACCGACTGCTCAAATACAGGTCTGAATTTTGGAGTAAATGGATTTACAAAACTACCCTGGTCTACGGACAATGTCGTCGACAACCAGAAGTGGTGAGTTAGTCAACCCCCCCCCCTTTCGATGAAAAGTATGGCGAGTTATCCTTTTTAGTTATGCGGTTATAGAGAAAGCGCTAGGAGACTTAGCTAGCAATGGTGCAAAAAGTGTCGAGGATGTTATAGTGAGGAGATACTTCAAATTTTCATGCAAATTTTTTGAAAAATGCAGAAAGAAGATAATTGCTTTTTTCATTTCCTTCCTGAAACCTTCCAGAATTTACTATCTCGTGTGCAACTTCACGAGTATTCTCTTTTCTTTCAGAATACGATAAAACAGTATAGCTCCTGGGTCTCTTCCTTCGATGGTTTGCGAGATTATGTGGAAAGCATGCCTGCCACAGAACAGCAGAAAACTCTCGAAACCATGACAGGAATAGCGAAGCTAGCTGTCAAAGCGAAGTCACTAATCACTGAAGTGAGTTGGTCGATGCACTCAAAAAGACTTGGTTAATTCTTTCAGAATAGTCATTCCGAAAAAGAAGGCTGAAAGAAATAAACTGAGTCCATCCTTAGGCAGTAAGGACCAATTCTCTAATATCAGAAAATTCTGGGAAATTTTGGAAACTTCGCTTTTGTAACAACAAGCACATGCGAGCGCGCAAATCGAAAAAGTATGGAGTAGAAAGTGATGCAAAATCTGAGGCTTATGGCAATGCAAGAGTCTGAAAGTTTGAGTCAGCAGTCAGTAGGAGACCAGATTTCGCTAATCATTAATGTCACATGAATCGCGCGACTGTGCGTCGATTTTTCAAAAATACGAGCGGTATCGTATCGTAATGGTCATATTCTAAGGCCTTGTCCCAAAAGTTTTGCATCCCTTTGAAGGCCTGTTCGTTTTTTAAAGAAATAAGCGAGCTGGTCCGATAGCCTCCAAACAAGTTTATTGATTTTGATGCTGAAGTTTGAAGCTAAGGGCTAAATCGACCACGTCTTGAATTGGAATTTCTCCAAAAAAGCCTTTGGAGCATATGTACTTACTTAGGTATTCAAAACTCCTTGCTCTTTTCCCGTGCGTGGACACCAATAAAGATGTAGCTAATCCATTCGAAGCTGGGCCTCTTCACATACTTGAATGAGTAACATAAATTTTTGAATATGCGAACTCAAATTTTTCTGCCCTTATATGCTCTAATTTGCGAGGAATGCCAAAAAACCGGAAAAGGCATCATTATTGTCCTTCCAGCCTACTTTTGTACCTGGAATCCTAGCTACAAAAAGCACAGCTATTGTCATAATTATCTGATCCAGATAGTTCATAAGTGAGCAAAGGAAAGGTGCTTTTTCTAGGGAGCAGTCAGACTACTGGCTTAATTGCATATTCTTTGATTCAGCTGGCTTGGCGCCTGGAAGGTGGGACTTTGTAGCCTAATTAGGGCCGCTGCTCCCGCAAGGCAATCTGCGTCTCTGTCGCTCGCGTGCTCTCTGATCATTGTCTAGTCTTATTAGGTCACGAAGCCCCGCCTTCTCGGCGCCAAGCCAGTTGAATCAAAGGATATTCAGCTACACATTGCTTATTTGCTCTTGTAGGCTTTGCTCTTTCATATCCAAGCCATATTGCAAAGTTATCAAGAGTAGAATTTTTTACAAAAATCGGACCAAAGTTTGGGAACAACTTAGTGCATTCTGCTTTTTTGAGTCGTTCCGAGCTCATTATTTACAAAGCCCATATATTTTTGAAGCGCTTGCAAAGTGTCATTTCTAATTGATTACACAAAGTATTTAGCCTCTGCCTCTGCTGCTAGCCGGTCAAGCCGGATCCGTTACGCTTAGTCAAGAGCAGTGTGCATGTCTCCTGGCAAATGGGTTCTTTTGCACGTTTCCGAAAGAAGCGAGCACCTTCAATAAGATCAATTTTTCCAAGTAAGATTGATCTTTCAATCCCGATATTGGCTGAATTTGCCGTTCTTTCAGCGTTTTTCAATCTGCCAATCGTCGGTCTCGTGTGAGGCTGCAGTTTTTGCTGCATTATTTTTCGCTAGTGCTGGAAAAGATGCCAGTTGGCTGTGTTTCATTTTCTCGCGCAGTTTTGAAAGAAGACGCGACCCCAAAATGGGAAGAGGAAAATTCTCAGGTAACCAAGTGGGATCGAATAAGATTACCATCTTTATTAGTGCGTCACTAGCTTATATTTTTAGCTCCGTTCTCTTGCGCTACAGTCAGAGGTACCGGTCGAAGACGTAGTTGCATGTGCACAAGTAGATTTTGCTGATGAAAAGATTGGAGGCCTCATCCTCTCCACTGCCATAGACCAGATAGGAGGCATACTACCTCATTTCTTTTCCTGCATTTAATTTTTGAAGGAGGAGATTCGCTTTCTAATATGTCCAGAACTGATCGTATCGTGCCTTTTATGCGAGAAGATGGGTCCTCTTGAAGCAATTCACATCGTCGGCGCACAACGCTACAGCGGCTACGATGGATACAGTAAGCTATGTTGAAAATCACGAAATTAAAGGCATAACTAAGAATTACTCTAATGTGTTATGACTGCTGTTCTAGGTTCCACTGTTGAATGGAAGCCTTATGACGCCTACGACTGTGAAGAACGAGATAATTTTAGGTTGGTAAGCAGAATCTCTACCTTCATGCTGCCGAAATAAGCGGTAAAAGTGTAGAGGACACCATGTCGATGGATAGGTTTTGCATGCAGGGCCCAACAAGAGGTGGCATACGAGAATTTTGAAAACGAAGTCCTCTTTGACATTGCAGAAAATTACGAAATACCTTTTGTGGTATTTTAGAAGCACGGCTAATAATCTACAGCAAACCATGAGTAAGAAGTTAAAAATAGGCAAGGAAAATCTGAGATTAATTAGCAACACGTGAAAAAAAGCGAATTCAAATAATTCAGAGGCCGTAGCAAAACAGAAGAGACGAAATTTGAGTTATGGTAACTGTTCATAGGTAGAGTTTGAACTGAAGAATAAATTTACGCGAAAAATTTCAAAAAATTATGTAAAGAAGGAAAAAAATTATGACTTTGTTTGGTTCGGCGCAAAAGTAGGGTGCTTCCAGGTTGCGTGGGAGCAGCCTAAATTGGAAAAATACTTACAGCTCCTTTCATTCACATAATTTTATCACGATTTTTTATACTTTCCTTTTGATCGTTGCGGAGGAGGTACACACCAATTTTGGTGGCTCAACTTTGCTTAACGATTGTAAAGGGACTGACTATCTACTTTTTTGTGCATAAAGATTGTGTTTTAACACGTTGAAATCGTGTGCACACAGGTCTAAGCACTTGTCATGTTTGTAACGTGTCAATCTACCTGTTACTAGTAAAATGAGTTGAAATAAGGGGCTTACTAAGGGTTAGCTTTGTGCTCGCTAATGCATCAGATTTTTGGGAATCACTCCTAGGAACATTATGAATTCCCTTTTGCTTTTCTCTGCCAAAAAAAAAAACGACATCCAGCCTGTGAAAGCGCCACCTTATGAGTTCTGTTTGCATGGACATTCATCTCACGAAACATGCGTCTTTGTACGTTAAAGCCCGTGCCAGTTATCCGCGAGGACGAAGCCTCGGCCGACATAAATCCTCCACCCGCGGCATTGCAGTGGGCAACAGGATTCACAAGGCCGCTAAAAAATCACATTAGCAGAAATTTTTTGTAAATCTACTAGCTCCTTTTATATTTTTCTATAGTCTAAAAATTGCCCCCACAGACAACATTCGTAGACAGCCGTATTTGAATCTGCAAGCTAGAGTGGCAGCCATACTTTATTATAGCAGTGCACCAATAGTATCTTCTGAAGAATATACTCAACTCTGGATTTTTAACTTGGCTTCTGTTCATTCATCAGTTATGATTTTCTCATTACAATTCTGGAATCTTGTGTGTAGGATGGAAATGCTATAGCTTTTGGAAACTTTTCCGGACTGTAATATCATCTTAGAGTCTGACTTTGTTTCAAGCAAAAAGAATTTATCAAATTAATAAGCAAAGACTCACTCAAAGCATAGTCATTATCAAATAATCTGAAATTGTCATAAGCTTTGCTATCTCTTTACAGGCGAGTGATATCGGACATAATCGCTATTGACGCTCTTCCCTTCAGCGATAGTTCACATCAGTATGAGAAGGAAAATATCGACAGAGAGCTCAACAAAGTACTAAAAGTGTGTATCGTATGGTTCTGAATGATTTTTGCCCTTCTAGGCGTATGCCGGATTCGTGTCAGAGAAAAGCGATGCACGACCGATAGCAACTGGAGGCTTGGGATGTGGTGTGTTTAGAGGAGATGAAGAACTGAAAAGTCAGTTATACCAGGTGTTTTTGTTAAGTACACAGTGCGAAAAAAGTTTTTTTAAGGTTTGATTCAAATCATAGCAGCAGCAAAAGCAGGACGAGATATGATCTACTGCGCATTCCATCATAAGCAACTTGAAGAGCCTTTGCTCAATATGTATGATGAGCTGCTTAAGAAGAACACAACAACTGGTAAAAATGCAGTTTCCACTAAACTGACTGAGATTTTCAAAAAAAAACCTTTAAGGCGCTCTTTACAAGGCCTTGATTTCGTATGCACAAGTAAAGCAGCAAAAGGATTTGTCTGTCTTCAAGCACATCTCCTCGGAACTTCAAGCACAGTAGCAAAGTGACATAAACCAAGACATAGCTTAAACAAGCTCAATAAATGTATGCTCCAGTGTGTACTGCACGTAATGGGCTGGAAATGGCTTTCAAAAGCAAGCAACGAGTAACAACACTATGGAAGCTAATTCCGTACCGAACACGATCGGCGTCTACAAAACGATTCAAAAATATCCCGACGTTTTATAGTCAATTTCATAGTCAACTCTTGCTCTGGCTGGTGTTTGTTGCTGATTCGCAGGTGTTAATCGGCAAATGGCTGCAATTTACAACGTAAGCGTTTTAGGTCGAAGTGACCTTCTCAAATGAAATCTATACCGTTATAAAGAGCTTTGAAAGCTGATTCCAAATTTGTTGCTAGCTGTCAAACGATTCTGCACGTCGTGTTGGGACTGTTTTTTGGAGCAAATGCCCATAAAAATAAGATGAACTCAATCTTAGGTCGAGGGCTCAAATAGAGCAGTGTTGAATCTAACTTTATCATACGAAGGGTAGTCATTGTTTCAAGCATTTTTTCTAACATCGAACCATTTAAGCAATTCCGAATCACTTTTTGACGTAAAAACGCTCCTAATTTGGCGTCCAGAGGCGTTTGGCAGAGGCGAAAGCAGATTTGAAATCAGCGCTCAAAGCTCTACAAAATGATGTAGAACTTATTGGGAAACTTCGACTGAAGACGCTTTCCTCGTTGATCTTGCAGTATAAAGCAGATCACTTATCGTTGTTCGATGGAGTTCTCAGCAAAGCACACTCGACAATGTCGTTAATATCACGGAAGAAATCCTGCAACTTCCTCCGAAAATCAATGAACCGCTTGGAAATTGGGAAAAAGTTGCATGCTAACTTGTATCAGGTTGTAACAAAATTAATGCAGGTTTTGAATTCCAACCAGGGCCCGGCAGGAGGTGGCATTTCAGAATTTTGAAAACGATATCCCCTTTAAAGCCAAAATTTCCTACGACTTCCCCTTTGACCCTATTTTTGGCCCCCGTAAGTCCCTGACAGTCCCGAAGTGCAAGCTGGTTGGCATGCAATGAACTCGTAACAGCTGTCTTGTCGCGATTCAATCGCGACGATCAAATTGCGTAAACTCTGTCGAGTAAGGGATCGTCCAGACCAGAAACACGTTGAAAATATGGGTCTCGCTGATCCACAAAAATATTGGAGGCAATGAAGGAAAACACACAAAGAAAAAGCAAAAAATTACAAATGTACAGAAACGAATGCAAAAATTCGATGTCATGTATATAACATATTTGCATAAATGCACCATTCCACCTACCTGAGATAGTCCGAATGAGCCGCAAATCGGTGACCTAAGTGCGACGTGCTGTAGTCGAAAATTCTGACATGCATGTCATCTGAGCCGAACAATCCAATTTCTGCGTGAAATAAACTTGGCAGCGCGCACTGGCAAATCACATATCTGAAGAATGCGCAAGATACTGGATTGAAACATAGTAAGCAACATAGGGCCCCAGCCAGACTTCAACTGAACAGCCCAGAACCGCTCAAAAACACCAAAGGCCCCTTTTCACGACGCATATGTACAAGAACACCTGGCAACGCTTAACTATTTGCGGGATAGGAACTCATTCTTGGATGAGCTATCTTGAGCGAAGTCTGGCCGGGGCCTAACGTACAAAAATACATGAAAATTCAAAAAAAATAAACCTACTTTGAAAGATTTCAGAAGCAGCTGACTTTCGTAATTCCATATCTGAACGCTTTCACTGTAAAGAGCTGCCAATAGCCACGTTTCCGTGAGATGAAGGTCCACCGACTTTACTCGACTCGATCTTGTCAAAAACATTTCCTCAACTTTTGATGACAGCATGCCTGCAACAACCAGAATAAAGAAAAACGACGAAAACAAACGACCCAAATGAGCGAAAGTGCGGAGAACGACCACAATCCGAAAACTGAAGAAACACAATCACAAAAACAACTTTTTGTATAGAACATCACGACCAAATATGGTCTCTGGCCCTTCTGAGCCCTTGTAGGGCTCGTCGAAGAAGCAATCTATTTAAAAATTGCGAAGATTGCTTCAATCAGCGATCACCAATTAAGCAAAAAGTCAAATTCTCGGAGTTTCCGCGTCGTCCGTGCAAGGTGCACCGATTGCAATTGGAGCGCGCTTTCTGAGGCCGATCATAACGCTGTGAACCCTATTTGGGGCTGTATCGAAGCGGTACCTTGATGGTTTTGGAAGCGGATTTGAACATATAGTAATACTCTCGACCTAGTCCACATTTATGTAAAGAACTCTGGGAAATTATGTGAAGGGAAGCAGGGAGCCACCCCAGGTGGCTCCCAGGTGGCGCGGGAGCCACCTAATTTCGAAAAACACTTACCATTTTTTAAATTCACATAAGTTTCTCATAATTCTTCATACTTTTTTTGTGCTTATGGTCCTCCAACTATACAGCAAATTTGGTGCCATATCGTTACTTGTGCATTGAAAACGAGCCTATTTTGTTATTTTCCTCTTACAAGAATTGCGATTTGAATTCCCGCCTGCGGGCAGGCTAGCGATCGGAGCACAGAATCTTCACATTGCTGGAATCTAAGTTCATAGGACAGTAGCATCAACAAGGAATGTTGAATAAAGAATGACATGTGCATTGTTTATCGGTAAACAAAGGGGAAGTCGTATTTTGGGGTTCGGGGCTCCGCCCCGGACCCCAAAATACGACCTCCCCTTTGCTTTTTCGGGCCAAAAACGATATCCAGCTTGTGAAATCGCCACCCCCGCCGGGCCCTGATTCCAACCGCAATAAGTTATACACTTCTCATTTTTAAGTAGGTTGCAAGGTACTACTCGATAGAGCAAAGCAAGCTCTACAAGGTAGCAATCTTGCTTTAGCAACAACTCTGATCCAATACGAGTTTCGAGCCGACAAGTAAAAAGATTCAACTGTCCGAAAAATTGAGAAAAATCGTAACTCAGTTCATAAAAAACCTACAAAAATTCTAATTTGCTCACGTAAACACAATCCACATAGGGCATCTATATACGCCGTTGCCGTATTTTTTTCTCTGTTAGAAATCAAGTAAACGGAAATTTTCGTGCATTTGCCAAAGTGTTGCTGTGCCGTTCCCACATAAGTAGTTGTATACTACAAATCTGTAGAAGTACAAACGTAAATTTTCAGCTCTCTACAAGCTTTAGTTCTCGAGAATTTTGAATTTTAGCTTGGACCACATGACTAACGAAAACTGTATTCGATATTTTTCGAGAATTAAAGCTTGTAGAGAGCTGGAAATTCACGTTTATACTTCTACAGGTTTGTAGTATACAACTACTTATGTGGGAACGGCACAGCATCACTTTGGCAAACGCACGAAAATATCCGTTTTCTTGATTTCTAACAGAGAAAAAAATACGGCAAAGGCGTGTATAAATGTCTTGTGAATAGTGTTTACGTGAGCAAGTTAGAATTTTTGTAGGTTTTTTATAAACTGAGTTACGATTTTTCTCAATTTTTCGGACAGCTGAATCTTTTTACTTTTCGGCTCGAAACTCGTGGTGGATCGGAGTTGTTGCTAAAGCAAGATTGCCACCTTGTAGAGCTTGCTTTGCTCTATCGAAAAGTACCTTGCAACCTACTTAGAAATGAGAAGTGTATAACTTATTGCGGTTGGAATTCAAAACCTGCATTAATTCTGTTACAACCTAATAATAACTCGTTTTTTGATTCTCGTGAACTCTATGTAGTAGTTGGTCTATCATCAGGAACTCCATGCAAAGGAATGACAAGAACTAAATGACACAAAGAGCGGCAATGTTAGCAAGGAGAAAATCTCGGAGGGCGGGGGAGGGGAGAGTTACACGATAACTTGTGCCTGCCGTATGCGGTGCGTAGGTCAAATTATTTTCAAATTCTACATTTACACTTGTTGACAGTTAGGAATTTGGAAAAAAAAACGCTAGGTGCTTGGTATGCCTTAATTCTTACTGTTCAACATTGTTTTCAATTCTGTAAAGAACATATCGCGCTAAAAAATTCAGACTTCATGCGCGACATATTAACGCAGGAAAACAGTATGCTTATTTTCAGTTATCGTTCATCTTGGCATATCTAACTCGAAAATCTGTGAGAGAAGAGCAGTACAGTATGTATGACAACACCAAAGTACGCAACAGTAGAATCTATGAAAAGCTCAGAAATTGATAGTCAAGATTGGCAAAGCAATAGCTTCAAAGACATATCCTAACGCATGCTTGGATGTCGCGCTACCTACAAGGGAGGTGTCAGAAGTCGCAGTGGCCTTTTGACATAAGATGGATATTACCTGAAGAAGCTTGAAATGCCGATTCCGAAACAGCCTTCCTTAACTGCAAAACGAGTCTGGGCTGGGTTTATGGGAATACATCATGGAAATCGCTCATATGCTTGTGCAAGCACTACAGTATAACATTGAGAAAATTTAAATTGTGGGAAATTTACAACACGAGAGAAGCCAAAACTTCCAAATTGAGCAAGGAGTAATTACATTGAGTACAGATAAACCATTTCATTTATGTTTGAGGCCGGAATACTTGGGCTTTGAAAGTTTTGGCTCCTCTCAGTGTTAATTTTTCCGCAAATAAGCCAGTAACTCCCGACTCACATTCGTTCTGCAGCTAAGAAACTTCTAGGAGTCAGTATTTGAAGTGCTTCACACGATACCCTATGTCATGTCAAAGGTCCGGCAAGTCTTGACACTTTTTTGTAAGCTGAATTCACCTCTGCGCTGCTTGGGCGCGTGGCGGCACCTTGAGGCTGCCATGATCGATGCTGGTTAAAGGATAAAGGATAAAGGATTCGGCTTCTTTAATACCTTCTGCAGGGATGCACCGGACGCACACTACTTCATAGTCGAAGAGGCAATTGTTGCATGTGTGCGACTATTACAGTGACTTGCGGGAATGTTACCCTGAAAATCAATGCATGAACTCTTCTCAATCTGGACTGAACCGATTACGACCAATGGAACCGCGGATGAAGCTAAGGCCCGTATGCACGTACATCCCCGCGGGGAGGGGGGGGGGGATCTGAGAGGGGAAGCGTCATA